ATTAACCTCGTTAAGAAATTCGTTAGAAATATCTTGAGAGTCTTGTAATTTTTTTAACGCCACAATTAAGTTACCACTCGTTCTTTCATTATTAGCTGTAAATTTATCACCATTTATCCAATTAGCCTTGTATATAGTTGCAAAACCGCCCTCACCTATCTGTTCAATATCTGTCAAATTATCATAAGGAACCCATTGAAGGTAATAACGAATATCATACTCAGTTGCTTTAAGTTGTGTATTTTTAATCAACCTGTCTAATGTCTCGTTACCACTAGTCCATCCTTCGGTTAATAGTTTTGGATCGCATGATTGACACCATGAATAATTAGTATTATATCTTTTGCAAGTTTTGCATTTCCCGTATTTTTCCTCTCTTTTATTTGAATGTTCATCATCATTGTCATAGTGTCTATCTTGATCTAAAGTTTTTTCCATCTTTATATTTTTTTTGTTTTTTTTTTTTTTTAAATTATAATAGTATGGACCCAAATTTATTTATTTTTACAAATAAATAATATGTAACGTAATTTACAGAATGTAAAAACGAAATGCAAATTAACTTTTCCATAATGCTACAGTGCAGATCGTCTATACTCAAAAGTTGCTTATAATATAAGTTGAACAACTTTTAAAATACCAAACCAAAAAAAATTTTATAACATTTCGAAAATGTTAACTAATAAGTTTATAGTTTACGGCTCTCTAGCTACAAAACATTCTGAATTTATTTCATATTGTTATATTGTTTTTTCTTAATAAAATAACGAAGTTTTCCATTATTTTATTTTTTTTATAATGTAAAATGATCAACATATTGTATTGGTGGCTCGTTCCATACCTACCTCGGCTAGACGCACTGAAAAATGATTAACTTCCGGCCTACTTAATTAAGCGTGATAGGTCCAAAAAATAACCTTTATCGTACCTGCAGGATTTCCGAAATCACGTTACTTTAGAAAAAATATTTAATTGAAGCCTGCCCAATAAAAATTTTTTGTTTTTCTTTAAGATAATCTATATAAAGATAATCTAAGTTTTTCAATGCTCTATGTAACTTTCTATAACAGGAAATACCTTTCGTTGATCATTTTCTCATTTCAACAAAATAGTATGATGCATAGTTGGGTTTCTCTCATTGGTTGTTTATCGTGGCTGTTAAAAACGTAATAAAAATACCAAATTTGGAAGGATTTCCATAATCAGCCAATCACAATGCGGATCAAGAACACTATACTTTTCAGAGCTGAAAATAGTTTTTTTTGATTGGATAAGTCAAATTGCTTAGCCACAAATGTGATCGACCAAAGAATTACTATTTATCAAAAATTTTTAATTCTTATGAATGATTATGCATTCTAATCATTTCTCTACCTAAAATACATTGTGCATTTCATAAGATAACATTAATGGCATGCAAGAAAAATGGAAAGATAAGGAATTTGCAGGTCACCTTATAAAACATGATATTAAGGAAAAAACTTACAAATGTAAGGAAAATTGAATAATAAAATCACATTCAGTAATGTAAATTTTAAAGTGTTCTGCAAAATCCATTATCTTTATTATTAATTTATAGGGTAGATGATATTTATTAGAATTTTCATTTCCTTATCATCTACTAATTTTATCTATTTCCGTATTACATATACACCCTCTGGCCTTACATATATTATTTTCAAAATATTTAATAACCCAATTTTCTGACCAAGCATTTGTTTAATTTTATTTGTCTCGCCATTCCTTTAACACATGTCTAAAATATTAATAAATTTTTTCCATTTCAACCTCTATTGATTTATAACAACTTCAAAAACCAACATATATTTATTTCTTGCTTAAATTGTTTTAACAAAATTCAGGAATTAATATACTTTTGTCTAAATCAAAATGTGCTGCTGCTTCATGTCTTTATAAACCATTAGTATTTTTTTACACTTTAAAACATTTGATCCTAGTAAACTACAGTTGCCAGATATGAGCAAAAGCAGTTTGAGAAACATAATAATAAATTTTTTGAATGACAACCTCTGTAAAATATATCACAATTTAAACAGATCAATTTCATATTTTCATTACCTTTTAGATTCATTCTTCACACTAAGGAATGATATTAACATCTAACATCATTGAAAACAGTGTTTTCTTGTTCTAGCTATCTGATAATGCTTGCCGTTTTACTTGTGCCTGTTCTATTTCTTTTCCTTGCTTTTTTTTTTGTTTGAGCAATTACCTTCTTAGAAAATCTTTCATAGTAGCTGAAATTAATTTTAATAGTGGCCAAATTATATCAAAATTATTTGAATTCTTGACTCAATAGCCAAAATTCTGGATGGTTTTTTTATGTCCATTAATATAGAGAATATGGAAAAGCCAAATGTTGCCAAATATTTGGGCAAATGCAAAAACAATTTGGCTAACATGTATGCTTATTATAATTAAATTTGTTTCCAACTGTAATCTTTAATAATGGATTTGAAGTTTTATTTGTGATCGTCTTATATTGTTATTTCACATACATTTCTTTTTAATAAATAAATAAATAAGACCATGCAAAAGGAAACTTTCAAAGAACAAGTTCTGAATTTCCCCCCTCCTAATTATGGTGGTGGTGGGTTTACCGTTATTTTGATAATATAATTTGTTTATGAGGAGGATAATGAGATAATTAAAGAAAACAGTAAATGTTTCATTTATTTTTTTTTTTTTTTTGTTTATAATTACTATATAAAATAGATAATAGTTTTACGTTTGAATAATTGGGTCTTCCGAATAATATTTCATTTGGATTAAGTATTTTAATGGTTAAAAACCATTCTCCTTTTATGCTGAATGGATTCCATTGCTAACGCGAAATATTTTGTATTATTTCTTGTTCTAGTCTTAAATCAATAAAAAAAAAAAAGAAAACGGACACTAATTTTCCAAGAAAGGATTTTATGTATATATTTCATGGAAACGCATCTATTGTTATTGTGATTACTATTTCAGTTAAACCAATAATGCATATCGTATCTTCAAATGATACGATCCTACGGATAAAGTTGATTTTAAATATTACATTTGACAAATTAATGATTATAACATTCAAATCAAAAGAAATGTATTTATTTTTCATGTGGCGGAAGATTATTTACTATTTGCCTGAATTATAATATAATTCAGAATGAACTATTTCCGAATTGATAGAAAGAAATTAGGCAATAACATTCCAATTTGGATAAATAATGATATTTTTAGATCGGGACTTCCGTGTCAATTGATTGGATTATGGCTCTTGAATCCAATCTTGGACCCGATCTAGAATTAATTTGGCCAAGTATTTTTAACCTATCAAAAGCTTTGGACGATACTTCACCATTAAACTGCATAGAATAAAATTCTAGTATGATCATGATGTTATAAAAACCTTTAGACAAAAATGGCTTCGAATTATAGCGCTATTCTAATATCTTCCTTTTCCGTAAAAGCAAAACACCCACACATATGTTATGCATTCGTTGTTCTTTCTAGTATATCGTTATAATATAAGTTATGAAAATAATACTAAATGTTTGTATTAGTAATAAGGGCTTCATGCTATCAAAAATCAAAGAAAAATTTACGCGTATCTTTGATATTGAAATTACCAGCATGCACTGTATTATCTTTAAGCGTGTTCTTTAAGGAATCCAAAATAGTCTGTAATGATTATATAGCAACTTTATAATTATTCTGCCGTCAAAATTATTTTAAAAATAAAAATATTTACACAATTTTGAAATTGGTCAAGATATTTCTCAACGTCATCATCAACATTTATAATGAGTTTATCAACTCCATGTTCTTTACGATCATTGAAAACCCCTTATTCAGACCATCATTTTCAATTTGTTGTTGAATGTATGTGATGGTAGATATTTTAAGCATAATATATCGTTGAAATTTTATGACTCCAATGTGTAGTGACCTATTTTAAAGAAATGAAATATAAAGATATAAAGTTTGAATATGATAATATATATATTTAAGGTATACATATAGATAAATGACTCACGTTTTTAATCCTCGTCATTATCATTTAAAGAAGAAAAACCAATATTATGACCATTCCATAACCAACTTAGAGCAACGATATGCAAACTAGATAGAATTTCCTTTTTAATATATTTACGTAAAATCTTCGGCTTTCAGAAAGAATCCAATAATTGGCCATTAAAATCAAAATAATTTATATTCGCAAAAGAGAATTTTATAGATAATATAATTTATTTAATGCCTACTTTATTTTCCTTTTCAATTTTTTTCTACACATAAAAAAAAAAAATAATTAATTAAAGGATTTGGTATTTAAACTGAACGCAGAATCTTCATCCATTCCTAACTAGAATGACGAGTTGCGGTAAAAGCAGACATACTGTAAAAACACTTACTCGTTTAATCTCCCCGATTTATTATCTTTACTTTTTTTCTTCAAATTTCTTAACAAAATATTTATTTTCATTATATAGCACGTAGTCAGGGACAATGATTTTAAAAGACAAATTTTGCCAATCAATTAGACGCGCATACAGAATGAAAAAAAAACGCCAAAATAGTTTTTCATAGTAGCGGAATTAACTTCAACATTCTTTGGCTGATAACAAATTCTGGGTGGTTTTTTTATGCCTATTAATATAGAGAATATGGAAAAGCCAAAATGTTGCCAAAATACTTAGCAAATAAAATTTTAAGAATTTTGTTTCATGAAATCTGGTAATTAGTAGTTTTGTTATAATAGATTTTAAATTATGAATTCATGAGCTACTTTATTGAATGTATATAAATGGTAATTTCAGAAAAAGTTGGGGCAAATGTAACAAATATGAAATTTTGTGTCCATTATGATGCCCTTTTTACTTACTAATGTCATTCTAAAAAACTTGATGGAGTTGCCTACAAAAAACACCAAATTGATTTCTAAATTAAAATATACCATTGCGGATATTTTTTGCGGATAACTACATGTTAACGTTATCATTATGCTTTATTTGAACAAATTGTGTTTATTTTACTTGTTGTATTTTAATGAATTTCTAAGTTTAGTTTTAGCATTCACACCTACAAATACAGTTTGGGGGCATAATACTGCTCTTGCTGATTCTAAAATATACTTTACAGGTGGAGTGATTCCAAAACAAACAATTTGGAAGACTGTCAACGATTTCTTTAATACACCAAATGAACTTGCCACACAATCTAAAGAATTCTATTATTTAGATGTATCAAAACATTTTAAATTAAATGAGGGTGTAATGCCTTGGGCGGATCTTGGTTCTGTGTCAGGAATTCCTCCATCACATTCTTGGAGCGCATTTTCACTTTGCGGACCTGATACTTTAGTGATGTCTGGTGGAGATTTTGGTTATCCACATATCAGCAATTCAGTTTTCATTTATAATATCAAAACACAGAAATGGAACATGCCAACAACTACCAATCAACCTTATAATGAATATAGCCGTTCTGTTTGTGACTTAAAGACTGGAAAAATGTATATATTTCCTGATATTGAACGCTATGAACATCCGAGAATTGATATTTTGGATACAATAACATTAACATGGAGAGTTGTTTATAATTATAATTATTACATAGATGGAATGATTGGTTATACTGTCACTTTATTACCAAATGGTAACATTGCTTATATAGGAGGTATTGATTCTTATGGTTCACTAGTATCGATGTCAAAGGTAATAATGAAATAAATCATGACAAAATAAACAAAATCATGTGACCATCTTTCATTTTCTAAAACAGATAATTTTATATAATATAAATGATAATAAGTGGAATACTACAGTAAGTCCCGTTACTGAAAATTTAATTGATTCAAGCTTTTCAAAATTTATTTATTGTTATTTATTTTAGACTGCTGCTGGCTATTTGCCTACATCTCGAGGTGGCCATTCTTCTGTTTTAAGTAATAATAATTCTTTTTAAAATTATTTTAATTTATAAATAAATTTATATTAATTTTTCTTTTAAAAATATACTGTATATAGCAAATGATGGTCGTATTATTGTATACGGAGGTTATATTAGTCGAACCACATTAACTCCAGTTTCAGATGATCTTGTAATATTAGATACAACAAGTAATATTTTTACCTGGTCAAGAGCAAATGTTTCTACTATTTCACCTTTCCCACGTATGTATCATTCGGCTGTTCTAGTTGACAAGTATATGATTGTATTTTTTGGAAGAAATAATATTTATCTGCCATCACTTGAAATGAATGAAGTATATATTTTGGATACAAGTGATAAATTTAATTACATGTGGATTAATGAATTTATTCCTATTCCAACAAATCCCATTCAAACAAAACCAACTAATACGGTTTTAATAGTAGCAATTACAATTTCAATAGTTTTACTTATTTTAGGAATAAGTTTATTTATTTTTTGTTGTAAAAAAAATCAAAATCATTATTTAACTATATCTGATAGTATAGAAACTTGATTTATTTGAAATTACCAAAAATCAAATATATTTAAATTGTTAAAATCTTTTTGCTTTTACAATGAACATGAACTTGTGGTAGGGACTTTCATAACTCCCAATTTAACATTTGCCACTAAATCAATTCAATTTCTCATTCCAAACCAATCTTAAAATATTCTTTGCCAGATACTTGTTGCTTGCTTCATGTTTGTTTATGTTTAATACTGCCAACACAACCGTCTATTGATTTATATCGACAGATAAATACTAAACATCATTCCCAAGCCATCCCTAAAAACACCAGACATTCTTTCATTTGATACTGCTTTATTCTGTAACCCGAGAATAAGCAAGTATTTGAATTTTTAAAAAGTATATTACAATGAAACCCTCCGTGAATTAAAAAACACGTCAAAAAAATCGGATGCTTATTTCCAACAAAAAAAGCATTTTTATTAAGAAATTGAATATACATGCAACAAGTGCATTGTGAACAGCAAGTTAAATAAAATTTCAATCGAAATATGTTTCGTTTTGACCTAAATCATATAAAAAATTATATAATAAATGATAAATAATTAAATAAATAAATCAGAATTATGAAAAAAAAAAATTTTTGTTTTTATACATTACCACTGTCATCATACAAATCATCACCTTCGCCATTATCAAAATAACTTTCAACATAATCAGTCGCATCTCCATATTCATCTTCTTCTTGTAGTAATTGATCTTCTTCATACTTCTCAAACTCCTCCTCACCACCCACCACCTGAAAAAATTTCAAGCAATTTTATTAATAATATAATTGGATATGTTGATATTGATGTGAAGCTTTATAAAAATTGCCTTTAATTTTTTTGTTCTCTCTTGATCTTCTTCTTCTTCTAGCAAATCACCAAGAGTTTTATCCAAATCAAAATGAACCCTTTTATTATTTTCTATTAAATAGTCGGAAATGTTTTAACAAATACGTTGAAATATAATTGAAATAAATAAAGCTGATGCTTGTACAAATATGTATATGCATACATACCTTTGAGTACACTGGTCGAAGCTAGCGAATCATTCTTAATAATCCGTAGTTCTTCAGGAAAAAACTTCAAGTCTAAACATTAAGCACACATATTTGTTATTTGATTAATTTTATGAAGCAATAAATCTACTATTCTCCTTCCTTCTTTTTTTACCTGTTTTTAGATCTTTTAAAGAATGATTTGGTCGTTTTCGCTTGAATTGATCAGAATATCTTTGGACCTCTATATATTAAAAAACTAATTATGATTTGATATCAAACATTAGTTGAATAATTTTATTATATTTTTTACCTACTGTCGGTGAAGGTGTAGTAATGTAGAACGCTGAATCTTTGAGAGCAGCCTTATAACTAAATAATGCATTAAGAGTATGTTCTTCTTCTTCAGTTGGCCTCAGTGGTTCAAGTGATTCAATGTCAATATTCCCCATAAAATAAACAAAATATAATTTTCAAATTTCATAAAGAATTTGGGGATTAAATCTGATTCATGTGCCACAACGATGCATTTTTTTAAGAAAATTTGCCGTGTTACTGTCTTTTTCTAAATTAGTCGTGTGACATTTCCCTGAGGCTGTTTTTCTATATGTGAAAATAAATTCGAATTTCGTGTCACATGAATTTT